GAAGAATAATAATGAGCACGGAATGAAGTGCAATTAGGTCAGCTTACAACTAGCTTCAAACTGTTTCTTAATAATTTTCAAAAAAGTAGAAGAATTTCAGTCGAGTTTGCGATTCACTAAACTGTAATGAGTATTAAATGAGAAAATGGAAGAAATAAACATCGAACAGCAGAATAGTTCAAATAAATAAATAACTGAAATAAATCAATCAACGAAATTAAGACAAGCCAATAGGAGCCAACGCCTGGAAGTTAGTCGCGCAATTATTTTTACGAGTTGGCTGGATCATCCTCCGATCTTGTCTTAGTTGGCTCAATCACTCCGACCTTGCTTTAGTTGGCCGGATCATCCTCCGATCTTGCCTTAGTTGGCCGGATCATCCTACGACTTTGCCTTAGTTGGCCGGATCATCCTCCGATCTTGCCTTAGTTGGCTAGATATCTTACTTTAAAAAACTCGATAACTTCGGAACAGCTTATTCAAATTGGATAAAATCATAGTGCCTTGAAAAGGTCTGAAGAGGAGCTATAAGAATATGTAATAAAAAATTGCAGGTTCCATTTAAAAAATCCGAGGTGACTTTGTCTTGACCTTGATGACGCCACCCAATGTCAAATTGTTAAGATCGGTAAATAGAACATTTTCAACGCTATAACTTTTGCCTGAAACATTTTTTTATAAAGTGTATATTTTTCGAAATTTTCAGGGGACCCAGGGTTTCTTCTTCACCCTGTATGTACAGGATGAGTCAATTAAAGTGTTACAGACTTATATCTTGGAAATGAATAATTTTGGAGAAAAACGTTTCAGACAAAAGTTGTATGGTGTCAAATGGGACATAAGAAGGTATCATTGATTAGACCTTGATTAGCCATTTGAAGGATACGTGAAGGTCATCAATAATTTCTCAAATAAAATGCTCTACTTTTTTTGGCATATTCTTATAACGTATTTCAAGAGCTTTCCAAAACACTACAACAAAGTATTTTTTTGTTAAATATATCCCGAGTTATAAAGCTTCAAATTTACAGTATCGTAGGCATTATTAGTTAGCATTACCCAAGGTATACCGCGTGGAGGTTGCACGATCGGATTTACACCTCTTGTGTGCGTGCGTGCGTGCGTGCGCGCGCGTGTGTGCGCGTGCGAACACGCGCGCGCGCATGCACACACACACACATACACACACACATGCAATGAGGTGTAAATCCGACCATGCAACCTCCATGCCGTACACCTTGGATAATGCAAATGCCGGCGGTACTGCAACTTTGAAGCTTCATAACTCGGGATGTACTTAACAAAAAGATACTTTGTTATAGTGTTTTGGAATGCTCTTGAAATACGTTATAAGAATATGGCAAAAAAAGTAGGGTATTCTATTTGAAAAATTGTTGGTGACCTTCACGTAACCTTCAAATGGCTAATCAAGGTCTAATCAATGATACCTTCTTATGTCCCATTTGACACCATACAACTTTTGTCTGAAACATTTGACCTTGACCATGTCCTTCAAGATCATTTCTAGGTCAACCTTATTTTTTTTAATAGAACCCCCAACATTTTATTACATATTCTTATAGCTTATCTCGAGAGCTTTCCAAAACACTATAATGAAACATTTTTTTATTAAGTACTTTTTGAGTTATAAAGGTTTGAAGTTAACAATTCTTTGACACAAAATGTAAAATATCTTGTAAAATATTATTTAGTTTTCAGTAATCATAACCTTAATACTTTTGTGCGCGAAATAATGAGACCACTTAATTGGTTTAAAGAAAATACATTAATCGAAAAGTATCGGCTCCCCCTAATATTTTCAGTTAGAATACATTTTGGAAAAATGTCCAATAGCAAAGTTGTACGGCTTCAACGGTTATGCTAGTATGCTATGGCGGAAAACTGCCCGAAGGTGATCGCGAGAAGCTGGTCGAATGCGTGATGTTCGAAGGCGTTAGCGGGAATCTGCCCGAAAGCGTTGGCGGGGTCGATCTTTATTGTCTCACTCGCGCAGGCACCAATAATAATACAAGCTCTTGAGCAAACAATGCGGATCACTGATTTGAATCTTTGATGCAGTGCTGTCTTCTTCTTAGCGAGCAGCAGTCACCTCGTGGACGAAAACGAACAGCCCCAAAAATTATTTCTGTAACAAAAGAAGCCATTGCGCTTCAATTGATTGTCCCAAACATCTACATTTTGTTTCTAATAGCCTAGAATTTTTTCGTAAATATTATTAATTAATCTATTAGATTTTCAGTTGCTCAACGAGCTTTTTGCTAGTGCTGGTTGAAATAAACAAATCGATAGTTGGACCAACACTTAATAATTAGTATTTTCCTCTACTTAATTATTTAGATCAATTTCCTATCACTTACCTGATTAATTCTTCTTTGCTCTAATTAAGAATGGCGGGGCTTTCTGAAAGAGATCGAATAACACTGTTAATGATGCGAGGGGGAGACCAATAAAGAGGGTATAAAACAGTAACACGATTATTTAATGAAAATTTTCGGAATGAAAATAAGAGGATCTCCAAAAGACGCACGCACGCACGCACGCACGCACGCACGCACGCACAAGAGGTGTAAATCCGATCGTGCAACCTCCACGCGGTAGCTTGGGTAATGCTAATGCCAACGGTACTATAACTTTGAAGCTTCATAACTCGGGATGTACTTAACAAAAAAATACTGTGTTGTAGTGTTTTAGAAAGCTCTTGAAATACGTTATAAGAATATGCCAAAAAAAGTAGGGCGTTCTATTTGAAAAGTTCAAGGTGACTTTGCCCTGACCTTATTGACGCTAGCCAAGATCAAACTGATAAGATCAGTAAAGAGATCATTTTAAATCTTACAACTTTTGCCTGAAACATTTTTTCCAAAAAGTGATTGTTTTCGAGATATTTTATCGTTCGAAGACTTTTTGAGAACCCTGTATATAATATATTATATATAATATATTATAATATATTATATAGATAATATATTATATAGTATATTATATATATAATATATTATATAATATATTGTTGCGCTCACTCTCGCACTCGCACTCTCTTGCATTCAGGCAAATAAAAACATTCGCGTAAGAATAACAAGCTTTACTATTTACAGCGCAGCTCACTCAAGCTTTAAACAAGAATAATTCTCTATTTGATAATTCTCAATTCTCGCGTCTGTCCTCGATGACAGCTGGTCAGAAACTCTCTGTCAGCTGTTGTTGTTTTCTTCTTATCGATTTTCCGTCGTCCAGACAATCTTCGTTCAGTTGTCAAAATCAGCATCACATGCCTAAGGCTCCCAATTGCATTTGCATTTTCTCAAAGCACCCAATTGCAATGATCAAACATTGTATGATATTTTATAAATAGAATTCAATTTTTAGTTCTTCTTTTATAAAATTCGATTTGTGCATACACGTACAAACACGCACCAGGCAATTCGTAAATTTAACCTCAACAATCTGAACGCTGTGATTGGTTGGCAACAGGTAATAGGAATACAATTTCCAATGTGACGGAAATTCTGTGTCTATTGCCTGTGCCATCGTTCATTTTGCATTGATACATAATTTCTGGTATGTTGGAATTCCTATTCCTCATTTCTATTCCCTATTCCTGTTGCCTGTTGCCTGGCATTGCGTAATGGCCTTTATCGTTCAGCTTCGACGCACACAACTCGCCGCGGAACGTCTGTAGGCCGCGATGGGCGTGACAAACGCTAAACTTTACGCGGTTATTACTAAAAAACTATGCGAGATATCGCTAAATGGAAAAGAACTTTTCGCTCCTCGCTTAGCTCTATGCTTCTATGGAGTTGGTGTGTTACAATTATGGAACACTCTGTATATACAGAGTGAGTGGTTATAAGTTTACAAACCGAAGCGTGAAGGTAGATTGGGTTAAAACATAAAAGTCCCGTACCGTTTTGCAAGATTCGCAATAATTATCGAGTTATTAATAACAGAAATATGAGGAGTGGAAGCGCGTCGACATAGATGATTGGAGCAGCGTTGCAGCTGCTCAAGCCACAGCGTGGCCCATTCGACCCAGCAACTGTTAGTGGCGTGCGGCGAGACGTAGATCCAGCGAAATAAAACAACGAATAGCGGTACATTGTCTTTCCTCTCGTCGCGCACCGGCAACAGTTGCTGGATCGATTGAGCCGCGCTGCGGCCTGAGCAGCTGCAACGCTTCTCCAATCATCTATGTCGGCGCACTCCCATTCCTCAAATTTCTGTCATTAATAACTCAATAATTGTTGCGAATCTCGTAAAAAGGTATAGGTCTTTTATGTTTGCCTTAACCCAATCTACCCTCACACTTCGGATTGTAAACTTATAACTACCCACCCTGTATACAGGGTGTCTCAGAACTTTGGCACACGGGCTCCGTAGGGACATAGAGGTAAGTGAGAGGAACAAAAAAGTCCTGTACCATAATATGAAAATCATAATAGTTTTTTAATTATAACAGTGCAAAGTTAAGCGTTTTCCACGCCCAGCGCGGCCTATAGACTCTCCGCGGCAAGCTGTGTGCGTGGGGACTGAGCGGTAACGCGGCTCGCGCTGACCGTCGGGCGGTGTCAAAGTGTCAAGTTGCCATCGCGACAGTCAGCGCGAGACGCGTTATCGCCCCTACGCATACAGCTTGCCGCGGAGCATCTATAGGCCGCGCTGGGCGTGGAAAACGCCAAACTTTACGCGGTTATTATTAAAAAACTATTACGATTTTCACATTATGGTAGAGGACATTTTTGTTTCTCTCACATAGCTCTATGTCCCTACGGAGTCCATGTCCTAAAGTTCTGAGACATCCTGTATATGTATGTATGTATGTATGTATATATTATATATTCTATTCAAATTTCTCTTTCTCTTCCTAGTTAATTGAATTTATCTTTTGACTCTATATACTATAATTGCAGAACCCATTAATATAAAAAAACAGTTACATAACAGATGTTTTAGCTAATTACTATAATATATTGCAGATGATCCTTGAGAATCAATGTTGTTTAAACAAAAGCATGCTCTACAATATTATCAAGCCGTGGCTAGGAACAGGGTTGTTGATAGCTCCTGGTAAGAAATTTAGCATATGACAAACAATCGTCGCGTTTCTTATACGATTGGTTATATATTCTCTGGTTATATATTCTCATGACGTAATTTATTGTTTATGTGTGTAAGAAGACGTGGAATATTATATAATATTATATTATATCAACTATGGCTTACCAAAAACTAATTGTATATATTAAAATTTTAATAGTCGTAATAGTGATACTGGAGGGATTCTAACCCAAGTCCTCTAACGGGGGTGTGGGGTGGTTGGTATCGCGGGAGAAATGTATGACGTCATTAGGTTTGACAGTTCTTTGACAACTGATTGGCGGCAGCATTACAACTTTATTGCTTAACTATCAAATATATTGGACTGTATACATATAAATGTATTATTAATTTATAATATGTTTTTAGGCAATTTGTTAATTTATAGCACAACTTTCATTGAAACGTCGTATACATGTTCGCAAAACAAAAAGCATGCTTAGTGTCCACATTTCAATAGTTACTATTTTCTTCTAATTTCTATTCAAGTTTTGCGTTGAGTAATAAATCCGTTTTTTAACGACGATTTTTAACGACAAATAATTTTGGAAGCTCTGAACAGCGCTATCTTCAATTTAAATCTTGGATGTACAGTCTGTAAAGTAAGAGCGTGCACGGGTTAATGTGTAGAAAAATTTATTTTTAATGATTTTTAAGTACATGGATTTGTTGTACTCCATGAGAAGAAAAATGCTATACTATTAATAATGAGTCCAGTCACCACCGGCATTGATAATTGCCTGGCATCTCCGAGGCATACTTTCCACTAAGTTGATTGCGTATTCGTTCGCTAAAGACCTCCAAATGAGACGAATTTGTCGTGTCAGTAACTTCAAAGTGCACACTTTTTTTCCTCGAAGCTTGTGCTTGAGATATGCCTACACATTTTCAATGGGATTTGCATCTGGCGACTGCGATGGCCAATCAAGTGTAACGATGCCAGACTGCTCTTTCCACTCGGTGCAAAGCTTGCTCCGGTGTTTTGGGTCGTTGTCTTCCTGTAAGATCCAGTCCTCGTTTTTTTTTATGAAGCATCGTTCAGCAATCGGCAACAAACACTTCTCATAAATTTTAAGCATTAAGGTCGGGTTCCACTTAAACAAATTCAAAATTTTTTTTCCATATTCGGCGTCATTTTGCTTATCGAGCCACGTTCTGGCAAGTCATCGACATTTTTTATCTTCTTATATTGCTGAACTCACTTAGCGACGAACAATTTTGACTTTCCCATGTATTCAGCAGCCACTGCATATGACATTTTTGGTCCTTTGGGGTGGGAACAAAGGAACACAGCCTCATAGCGCGATACGTATGCGGCACTCATGGCGGTTAACGTGTTTCTCAGGTTAGAGTTCGATGCCAACTGAATCTTTTGTGACAAAGCATTCACGACAAAGATTTCATCTATCGGCTCACAAAAAAACTAGAATGATATTTGAAGCCAACTGCCATTTATCCCGTACACACTCTTACTTTACAGACTATATAGTGGTTTGATAGATATTGTTATGGTACGATAGACATTTGATGGATAACAATTGATTGTTAGCGGCAATCTTTTGACCGCTTTTTGACAGGAAGAGGATAAGAAAAATAAGTCGGAACCAAGTTAGAATCGAACCTATGTCTTTCGATTATACAATTCTGCTATCTAGACCATTGTAGACTTTTAGTAGTACACGCGTAATAAAGCCTCTCGAAATACGTCTTGCACGAACGGGAGGAAGAAATGTTCTCACCCACGGATTTTCGACGACCCTCTATCAAATTACTATTTATTGAACCATTGTGAAATGTCTATCGAATCACGTCTGTCAAATATCCATCAAATGTCTATCGTATCATATCAACATCTACCAAACTACTATACAGGGTACACGATTTATCTGAAGACATTGAAATATCTCAAGAACTATGCATTGAATAAAAAAAGTGGTTAATGAAAGTTGTTAGTCTCGAAGGGGGACATCCAATGATATCAAACTCGACCTCCCACCCCATCTCCTGGGGGTGGGGGTTGGGGACAACTTTGAAATCTTAAATGGAAACCTCCATTTTTTATTGCAGATACGGATTCTACGCCACAAAATATGTAAATTTTGTCCGAAACTTTTTTTTTGATTCGTGATAGATGGCGCTGTAATTGCAAAAAATTATATTTTCCGCAATTCTCCAGAAATGATCATTGGATTGAGAAATCATTGGATGTCCCCCTTCGAGACTAACAACTTTCATTAACCACTTTTTTTTATCCAATAGTTCTCAAGATATTTCAATGTCTTCAAATAAATCGTGCACCCTGTATACCTCCAAGATTTGGACTGAAAATAGCGCTGTTCAGAGCTTCCAAAATTATTTGTCGTTAAAAATCGCACGGATTTATTGCTCAACGCAATACTTGAATAGAAATTAGAAGAAAACAATAACTATTGAAATGTGGACACCAAGTATGCTTTTGTTTTGCGAACATATACAGGATGTCTCAGAACTTTGGGACACGGGCTCCGTAGGGATATAGAGCTAAGTGTGAGAAACAAAAAAGTCCTGTGCTATAATGTGAAAATCATAATAGTTTTCTAATTATAACAGCGTAAAGTTAAGCGTTTTCCACGCCCAGCATGGCTTATAGACGTTCCGCGGTAAGCTGTGTGCGTGGAGGCTGAGCGGTAACGCGGCTCGCGCTGATCGCCGCGCGGTATCAAAGCGCCAAGACGTCATTGCGACAGTCAGCGCGAGACGCGTTATCGTTCAGTCTCTACGCACATAGCTTGCCGCGGAGCGTCTATAGGCCGCGATGGGCGTGGAAAACGCCAAATTTTACGCGGTTATTACTAAAAAACTATTACGATTTTCACATTATGGTACAGGACTTTTTTGTTCCTCTTACTTAGCTCTATGTCCCTACGGAGCCTATGTCCCAAAGTTCTGAGACTCCCTGTATATGACGTTTCAATCGAAGTTGTGCTATAAATTAACAAATTTCCTAAAAAAATATTATAAATTAATAATATATTTATATATATATATAGTCCAATGTATTTGATTGTTAAGCAATAAAGTTATGATTGTTGTAATAACTCGTGAAGAAACATCTTACACAACATGTAATAATAATTTCATATACAGGGTATTTGGTAACTTATGTGGCCATAGCTAATGGAAACATAGAGCAGATAAAGAAAATCAAATATCGTTTTGCAATAATCACAATAATATTGAGTTATTAGTTATAAAAATCTAACTGATGAAAGTACGCTGAGAGATGTTGGAGGAATATTACAATCGCTCGGGTTATAGCCCAGCTCAGTCGATCAATTAACTGTTGACAGAGCGCAACGAGGGAAAGAACAATGTGAAGAACGCTACTCGTTTTGTCTCGTCCCTCCTACGTCTCTCTGCGCGCCGGCAATAATTACTGGATCGACTGGGCCGCGCTATAGCCCGAGCAGCTATAATACTCCTCCAATATTATTTCGAGAAGCGTTCATTGATTAGATTTCCATAATTAATAACTGAAAAATTATTGCGAATATCGTTAAACGGTATGTGACATTTATGTTTGTATTAATCCACTCTATGTCTCCACGAATTCCTCAGAATGAGTATAAAGCACCTTGTATATTCTCGGAAATTTACTAATATTTATAAGGATTAGTGACAGATTTCTAATATTGTATAAAAGATGTACCCTCTTGCTTTCTTATTTCTATCTAATATTCAATTTTTCTCAGCATCCAAATGGGTCAAACATCGAAGAATGTTAGCGATGAGCTTCAATACAAACATATTACGAGTATTCTGCGATACATTTGTGAAACAAGCTACAACATTTATTGAGAAATTGGAACATATGACAAACGACGAAATTGATCTAAATCATCATTTAACAACGTGTACGTTGGACATGGTTTACGGTAAGTTAAAATTATTTGACATTGACTTAAAAAATTGTGTGTATATGCCATAAATTTTTCATTACATTAAATGCATAAAATCACAGTAAAAATTCTAAATAACATATTTTAATATAGAAAGTGGCCCACATAACTCTTAACAGCTGAATATTTTGAAAACTATTTGTCAAATAAAAAAGTTGTTCATGAGAAAGTTTTTGTATTCGAGGGGCCTTTCTAAATACATAAATATTAAATTACTCCCTGCCTCCCTTAAAGGGGACAGGGGGTAACTTCGCAATTTCAAACGGGACTCCCTATAAAATGTTAGATGGTTGAGTTCTGCGGTAAAAAGCAAGTAAATTTTGTTCAAAACATTTTTTTATCATATGTTTCTGTTAAAAGATATGACGATGTAAATTTCGAAGCTGCACGAAATCAAAATCACAACACACTGTTTGTTTATTTATTCAATTTATTAAATGTTCAAAATGTCCGCCATAGACTTATAAATATATATTTATTCGAAGCAACAAATTATTCCTAATATTTTTTAACATTTCGGAAGTCACTGAAGTGCAAACGTCGCGTATCCTTTGCTTCATATTTATTTCGTCGTTGGCGGTTCAAACATAACTTTCTCCTTCATATATCCCCACAAAAAAGTCTAATGGTGTAAGATCGGGAGATTGAGGAGGCCATTGAACAGGTCCACCACGACCTGCCCACTTGTCCCCAAATTTTTCGTATAACAACTGTTTGGTGATGTTTGTAAAATATAGCGGAGCGCCGTCTTGCTGAAACCACATTTCCCTTCTGATGTGTAGTGACACATTTTCCAAAAGCGCAGGTAAATGGTTTTGTAATAAGTTCGGATAATCAATTTTACCCGTTACAATTTCTTCAAAGAAATAGGGTCCAATCACAAGGTCTCCTATTATTCCTCACCAAACAGTTAAAGACCACCGATGTTGGAATGGAATTGATCGCATCCAATGAGGATTTTTAACGGCCCAATAATGCATATTACTAGGTGCGCAACTAAGTTTCCGGGTTTCACACATGGATGGCGCTAACGACACATGTAGTCGACATATGTCTGAAGTTGTGTATTTTTGGACATCTGTTAACAATAACCAGTTGTAATACCAACACATATCGCAATGCAAAAATATTTTTTCTAACAACGAAGATGTCGAGTTTTGTGCCAAATAAACAACATTTGCGGGAAGCTTTGCTTTTCGGCTTTAACTTGAAAAAAAGTGCAGCTGAAGCACGTCGTTTGCTTGAAGAGGCCTACGGCGAATATGCACTATCGAAAACTACCTGTGAAGATTGGTTTAAACGCTTCAGAAGTAGCGATTTTAAAACTGAGGACAAGGAGCGCTCCGGAAGACTAAAAACAATTGAGGACGCCGATCTGCAAGCATTATTGGATGAAGATGATATGCAAACACAAGATCAACTTGCGGAGGCATTAAACATGACTCGCCAAGGTATTTCCAAACGTTCACATGCCATGGGAAAAATTCAAAAGGGAGGAACATGGGTGCGGTAGAATAATAAGGCCGGTTCTAACTCAGGAGTGCTGAGGGGGGCGCGGGGAAGCGGGGAACTCAGGGCGCGGGGTATGACGTCGCGCGTGGAAGGGAAACTCATGGTGGGACGTCACGCAAGATGGTGACCGTGACATCACGAAAAAGAATGTATTGGGATGTACGTAGCCGGGCCTCGAACCCGGGCCCTCGCGGTTACTATCCCATGCTCCAAAGCTCCTATACCACCGTCGTTTGTTGCTAGTAGACGTCTAGTGAATGTTCTTAAAGTCGGCATGATGACGTCACGAGAGGAAAAATAAGTCAAAACTAGGTCAGACTCTGGCCCTTCGTTTACTGCGCCATATCGGACATCTGTCGAACGTCTATCGAACGTCTATTGAACGTCTCACGAACGTCTATCGAACATCTTTCGAACGTCTATCGAACATCTATCGAACGTCTATCGAACATCTATCGAACGTCTATCGAATGTCTATCGAACATCTATCAAATGTCTATCGAACGTCTCTCGAATGTTTGTGCTTATAGTTTTTCCAAACGGTAGAGGATCGATATGGATTTAAATGACGACATTCCACTAACAGCAGTCAGTATTCGCTTGGCATTTTGCGAACATGTCGCTAACGCTTACGTTGACTGGCAACAGTCCGTCCTTAAGTGAGCTATTTTCCCGCTATAGATTCGAGCGACGGTGATTATGAGCTTGGTTTAACGGATTTTGAAACATATAATACGATACCAAATGTAAATTCATCGAATAATAAATTTTACTATGGTGCTAACGACGAAGAAATTACGATTCCTGAAGGATCGTACGAATTGCGCGCCATATACGAATATCTAAAACGTGCAATTTCACATTCTCAAAAAACAGTGTGTTCCAAAAATAACCCATATAGAGATGACGATAATGAATATCCTATAATAATTCGTGCCAATAATAATACGATGAGGAGTGAAATAAAATGTGCTTATAGAAAATTTTAGCAAACCAAACAACATTGGCTCGCTTTTAGGATTCTCATCGAGTCGTATATTAGAACCGCACCGATGGTACGAATCGGACGCACCGATTAAGATTATCAACGTGAATATCATTCGTATAGAATGCAGCGTTGTCAGTGGTGCGTACAGTAACAGTATGCGTGTACATACGATACATGAATTCTCGCCTAAAGTGCCACCAGGATATAAGATATCGGAAACGCCGGCACATGTTATTTACCTTCCAATCATCACACGGAGCATTACAGATTTAACGGTGCGTGTCGTCGATCAAGAAGGACAATCGCTCGATTTTCGTGGAGAAGAGATTACTATTAGATTGCACGTACGACGGCGACGATAATAAACGTAATCTATGAAATGCTTGTGGTGAATCAAGTGGAACTGGAGAAACAAGCGGGAAATATATTTTTTACGAGACGCGCGATTAACAGTACAAAAATTCCTCGTTCGAAAGAAACTCAGCGCGTTTAACGTTGAATTTTTGAAATCTCTGGGATTCATCGTACGAAATGATTGAGAAAGATGATTACATTTTGAACATTGAAAGTGAACCGGTCTTTGACGATCGCATCATCAAGATTGAGACACATATGTACAATCCATACGCTAATACAACATTTGGATATAGCGACGAGATACGAATACCCATACAGCAGCAGGATTTATACATATTGCCATGCGAGAGTTATCTCTATGTCGAGAGGAAAGATGACGAAACAAGTTGCAGTCGATGGTGCGACTGTAACGTTGGGATATAATTGCATTGCATTCATGTTTGATGAGATCCGTTATGAACTGGATGGTATGGAGATTGATCGTAACAGAAACGTGGGAATAACTTCAACACTCAAAAACTATGTATCGATATCTTTGGACGAAAATGCTGTCATAAAAAATGCCGCGTGGGATATGACTGACACTATTTCGCCGGACGGGTACTTCAACTTTTGCGTACCACTCAGCGTGTTGCTAGGATTCTGTAAAGACTACAAGCGTATAGCGATTAACGCGCGTCACGAATTGATTCTATTACGATCGCGCAGCGACAACAACAGTCTATTAGGATCTCCAGTGCTTGATCCTAAGATTGAGCTATTCAAGATACAATGGCGAATACCTCATCTTGAACGATATCAATAAACTTTCCATGCTGAAAACTTTGGAGAACGGACGATACCTGAGTATGAGTTTCCCGCTCGTGGGATCTGTATGAATTTCCTCTACTGCAAAGCACGACCAAACACCAGTGGACCGTCAAAACTGCTACTAATTTAAAAAAACCTCGATACGTTATCTTTGCGTTACAGTCTGGCTGGAAGAATTCATGTCAGAAAATATAACTTGTTTCGATGACTGCAAATTGATTAACGCGAAGCTCTATCTGAATTCAGAGTGTTATTCGTATGATGACATGAATTTGGACTTTGCAAAAAATAAATACGCAATACTTACGATATGTATAGACGTTTTCGTAAATCGTATTATGGATGCGACAGTGCTGAAGTATGGTTAACAACTACCAACTTTCTGCGGTTAAGTCCTTTCGTGGTGATCGATTGTTCGCGTCAATATGAGTCCCGTCAAGAGTACCATTGTGGATGTGCGGATAGAATTTGAGTGTAAAGAGAATATACCGGCGAATACTACCACGTACTGTCTCATCCTGCATGATCGTGTAGTTGAATACAGCCCTCTAACCGACATAGTGCGCAAACTCAACTAACATTAGAAAGTATATATAAGAAAAGAATAATACACGAAACAAAGTACTATAAACGGCATTTTCTCTCCTGGACGTATAGAAGAATATTTCACCATGGATGTTCCGACATTTGTCGACTTGCAAGGATTCATGGTTGGAAAGAGATTTATTGTGAAAGAAGCGGCGATACTGAAGAACGGAACTATTCTTTCGCACTACATTTCACGAGTCCGATGCCATGGCATCTGCTCACAAGATCGGACAAATCGAGGGCCTACTGGTTAACTGCTAATCATCATGGATTACGATGGGAAGATGGAACCGTCAAATACTGCAGAGCTAAACATCTGGTTACTGCAGCTGTGGCGGGTGATATGTATGACGAGCTTGAAGACGATGCATCTCAATTTGTGTATGTGAAGGGATATGAGAAGCGGGAATGGCTGTTACAACTTCTGGATGACAATGCGAGAAGCAGCGTGATCATTAAGACCATGGACACCGATTACGACGATATGCCTTCCTGCAAAAATTGAATAATACTTTTCGATGTAATAATCATATGAAAAATTGCGCATTACAGAATGTACTAAATATTTTCAACTGGTGGTCTCGAAGAAAATTGTACGACGCTATATAATAAATCATTATTTCAAATGTACAGATGTTCTTCCAACTTTCCTTATCCCCTTTCTTAGGATTTTATATGGTAACTGTGTTGATACAAATACTTCTTTATTTGCGGTATGACGTTTATTAGACGTTCGATAGACGTTCGAGAGACGTTCGATAAACGTTCGAGAGACGTTCGATAGACGTTCGTGAGACGTTCAATAGACGTTCGATAGACGTTCGATAGATGTTCGATATGGCGCAGTAAACGGAGGGCCTG